TAAGTGCAATGACTGTCCATCAAGTGCAATTTAGTAACAATACCAGATATCCAGTCACACCTGTACTCAACAGTAATAGTAATGCATCTAATCATATGCATGGATGACCAAATGGCTTTCCAGTTCTTTTTGAAATAAAGAGTAAATTCTAAAAGTCAAAATACTTGTAAAATGCGCAAAAGCAACTTGCTACGATTTATAATATCCTAGAGTAGGATACAATAACAAGTTTATATGTGTGAGACCAAATGAAGAATCTTGCACATGACATGATTCTATATAAATATATAAATATAACTATATAAATCGACCGGTAATGTCATGGATACTGATCTGTGGGAAAAGCCAGAATAAAGCAGAGGTCTTGGCTGGAGAGTGCCCTTCCACTTTGTCATAAAATGCTAGAGACACTTGCGCCTTCATCATCTCTCTTAGAAATTGGCTCTTCTCCAATATGCTCAGGGGTGGGGGGAGGAGACTAGGCTGGCCAAATGAGAAGATGTCACTTTTGTCATTGATCTAACTTCTGTGTATCCCTCAAGTCTAAATCAATTTCTTTAACTCTTTTCACCCAGGAAGTTGCACTGTCTCACTTTGTGGGAAAAGAAATGATAATCTCTCGAGAACAGCTTGAACGTGCTGAGCTAGGAACTAGACTTTTTACCCATTTGAGAGTGCAATATTGTGATTAATTAAATTTAGAACTTAACTTGAATGACTACATGAACTAATCAATATGTCCACACTTGTTTTCTTCCTCCTGTGGAAGGAAATTCCCTGCTTCATCCCTAAGGTCTTCTTATACTGCTAAGTGATCCTTATCGTTTCTGCGATCCCTTGCAGCTCTAAATTTCCACATGTTAGAAGTCACATATTTCTTCCTGCTCATTACTACTATATCTGGTAGTTGAACCTTTCTTTTGAGATCTCTGCACTCCTTAATAGATTATTGAAGATTTCTTTTGTTTGACATTTTGTTTCTTTAGAGAGTGGATCTGCCCACTTTGCCAAAATTCTTTCCTCCATCTTAATTGAACCCACTCTTTAGGCATATAGGCTCCATCTCCCCCATGCCTATTATGTTATTCTTTGTGAAGCTTCCTCTTAAAATACTTCTTACAGTAGTAGCCTGTCATAATCCTATCCAAATCCAACTCTTAAATCCTATTCGTAGGACCTTCTTCCTCCAATTTATCCACTAAGTCTTTGGACTTACCTTTTATATTTGCATCTTCTTTTATTGCAAATACACCTATTATTGTCTTCTTGACAATGGTAGGCAGACAATGCCAAGTTTACTGTAGTTATTTGATATATAGATATCTATATGTCATATATTTCATACATATATGAGGCTAAGTCAACTTAAGTTCAGCCTTTGTTGAATTTTACTGTCCCCTCACCGCTTTCATTGGTGTTTCATTCTCGGAGGCTCAAGCACGAGGACCATACAAAAATCTTCTCATTGTAGAAAATTAAGATAGTGAAAGCTGACATGGACCAGCGGGAGAGGAGCTCACTGCTCAGCCTTTCCAAATCAACATCAAAGCTTTTGGAATGGTCTTAATAAGATTTTCTATATTCAGACCCAGGACCATGACTTCATTGTTACTCACCTTAGAAGCATCATAAATGACATCAGCTTTGGCATTAATCCAATTTTACCATTAACTTTCTGCATAAAATTTGATTAAGAGGCATGGCAAGGCTTTTGTAATTAAGGAGAGTGCATTGGGAAATTGTTTTCCGTGCATGGTTTGTCATACTCTGACTGGTACTGGAATTCACTGACTACCTGTTAAGTGAAATATCAGGCCGAACAGCCTTTTATCTGATGAAGAATTCCTAACATGGTTTTCATCTCAAGTCTCAATTTTCATCCTCACCAGTAATTGACTTTTCAAATTTGTTGACTGCGCATATAGGAATGTTGAAGTAGCTAAGTAGTTCCTGGTGATCTTCTTTGGATCTCTTCAGAAATCAGTGTACTTTACAATAAATACATTATTAACTCTTATTAATAGTAGTTGTTGATTAACTTCCATAGCCGTGCATTGCTGATTCTTCGTAATTATTTGTTTTCCTTCTATTATGGATTAGAAAGAGTTAAGTACAGGCACACATCTTCATGAGTCAAATGTTCAACTCTGAATCTGCAGGGACTTTTATCTTGTGAGAGTGTCTTGAGTCGTGAAGTTTTGATGTTAGCTGATTTTCTTTGTCAGTTCTGCTATATGGCAGTTAGTCAAGTTTCTAAATGGTATTATTTGGTGTGTGCCACATTTGCAATCTCTAAGTTACTTTGCCTGAACTTCATCAGCTATGAGTTATTGCTTTAAATATTTTGCTGCATTGATATTTGGAGATTTCTGTAAAGTCACTCTGAAGTGAATTTAGTAGATTTAGACCATTATGATTTAACCTGCTTTTAAGAGGCTAAGTCAGGATCAACTTTTTTTTTTTTTTCACTCTCTCTTTTCTTATGTTACTGGAGATTGAAGTCAAGCTAGCATTATGCATGCCAGGGTAGGCAAGTATTCTACCACTGGATTACAACCCAGCCAGAATGGGTTTTGTTTGTTTGTTTGTTCAAAGAAAACACTCTCTTGGAAAGAAGGAAGAGGGCAGCCATGGCGTTGGCATCCTTCCCTAAGAAGGAAGAGAGCATCCATGGTGCTGGCATCCCCCCCTAAGAAGGAAGAGGGCAGCCATGGCACTCGCACCATTTCCTAAGAAGGAAGAGGGCAGCCATGGTGCTGGCACCGTCCCCTAAGAAGGAAGAGGGCAGCCATGGTGCTGGCACCGTCCCCTAAGAAGGAAGAGGGCAGCCATGGTGCTGGCACCGTCCCCTAAGAAGGAAGAGAGCAGCCATGGTGCTGGCACCGTCCCCTAAGAAGGAAGAGGGCAGCCATGGAGCTGGCACCATCCCCTAAGAAGGAAGAGGGCAGCCACAGCACTGACATCTTTCCCCAGAGCTGTTCCTCTTAGACAGCACTAATCGTTTGTGGACTGCTCTGATAGAACACATTCTCCTAGCTGACTTGAGATTCAGGAGACCTCCACTTTCCACAATCGATGCACTTGGCTGAGCCATTTAGAGGACAGATTCTTTAATCTAAAAGCAGTTCTTTTCTTTTTTAGGTAAAACATTTATTTGTGTAGTGACAAGAGGATTGTCTAGATTTCAAATCCATGACTTAATTTTTATTTTTTTAAGATGTTAGTTTAAGTAATAAACAAAATAGCTGCAATCTATTTTAGGTGGCCTCAGGGAAAGAAGGATAACGTTGGTCTTAATTTTATCTTTTTAAAAAGATTTTATTTTTACTCATGTATATAAGTTTGTGACTATGTGTGGGTATATGCACATGAGTCCAGGTGCTTGAGGAGGCCAGAAGAAGTTGTGAGATTCCTGGAGCTGGGGATACAGGCAGATGCAAGCTGCTAGACATGAGAGAGTGACAGAGAGAGAGAGAGAGAGAGAGAGAGAGAGAGAGAGAGAGATCTATGCATGTGTGAATGCACATGCAAAAGCACAGGCAGATTTCAGAGGGTAGCTTTGTGGAGTCAGTTCTCTCTGTTCATCTTCATATGGGTTCTGGGAATTGAACTCATATAGTCAGTCTTACTTGGCAAGTACACTTACCTGTTGAGTGATCTTGCTTGTCCCAGTCTATCTTTTCATATAACAACCCCACCCCCCAAGAAATCCTGACTACTGTGTGCACTTTTAGTCACTGTCATCAATTAGACAACTTCCATTTGCACATCATAAAAGCATGCACTTCATACACCAACACTGTGCCACCTGCACAATGATGACATTGGGGCCCTGAGTCTAGGCAGTTTGCCCTTGAGCTTTGGTTCTTTCCTTCATCACATCATGCCTTCTGCCCAGGCACACTGGAGGAAAGGCATTCTTGGTCAGGGAGGGGATCTGCCTTGGCGGCAGCACATCTATTCTAAATTGTAGTTTTCCTAGATCAACAGTGAGGACAGACAATGTCTAAGTCACAGCTGATTTCAAGGTATTATCTGTTTGTGTGGCCACAATGGACCTGAAGTGGAAAGCACACATCCATTCAGTGGCTCTCAACTTCTCATCAGGACCCACAGGTCCCATCTACCCAGTCTTTCCTTTCTTGTCTCGTGGCTGGATCTTTGCCCCTAGCTCAGCCCCTGATTTTTCCCCTCACAGGATCCAAGCTTTATTTCCTTTTTCTTTGGGAGCCTTTTGGATGACTGCTCTCTCCTTCAGGAAATCTAGGGGAAAATTTAAATGATGTCTTTGATTTTGCTCTTGGTTTAGTGGTGGCAGTGCAAACTGACTCCTTGGCTCCATGGCATCTTCCTGGCAGTTGAGTGGTAACTGTGGACTATGTCACTGTAATCTAGTCCTAGGCTAGACACTGCCTGGTGTTGGGTCATCCTTGTATTCATGGCAGCGTATTTGCTCATGACACTCTACAGGTGCTGTCTGCCAATACATCTCAGGAGGTCAGACAGAATTCTAGTGAGCAATAACCAACTTTTGGTATTATATTGATTATATGTAATTCCTTTAAAAGAGAAGCTTAATCAGATTTTAGGAAAAAAGAAACTAATTCTCAATAAGAATGAATGTAATTGTGATTTTAGAAGTTGCTCTTGTCTAATCTAGTTTGTAAAACGTCATTGGTCCATGGTGCTTCATTTTAGAAAGTAGACAACAAATGAGGCTGCTACTAATTATGGGAGTAGCACTAAGGGGAAGGGGTGCCTGTGGGTCCCAGTCTGCATGGCAAGGTTAGAGGACAATTTCCAGAAGTAATTTTTCTCCTGTGAGCCATCCTAACAAAAAATGAATAGCTGTTCCCTTTGCATAGCCCTGACCAACCCTGTCACCAGGGCCTCTGCTCATTTACTGATCTTTAAACAGCAGTTTTTGGAAATCAAACGTCTTCATGTATTTTATGTTCTTTGTTTTCTAACAAAATACGGTTTTCTTTGGACTCTTTCAGGGCATTCTACTTGGACAAGTCCAATTCACCGCCAAACGCCACATCCAAAGCTGCCTATGTCGATAAGGTAAGATGGCGATTGCGTTTATTGGTGCAGTGTTGCCCACTTGCTTCCCTTTTAATCCTTCTGTTTCCCTCTTGAGCAATGCCTGATTCTAGAGATTTGCAGTGCCCAATGTGTTGCCTCCGTCAAAGATGGTGTTTTACCTCGGTCATCTAAATGCTGGGACAGGTGAACTGCATGCCACCTGAAAAGACATCCGAGAGTGTTGAGCTCTGTGGTTTTCACTTTCCTTTTAGCTCATGAGGCCCCTGAATGCGTTAGACGAGCTCTACCGGCTGCTCACCTCGTTTATCAGATCCAAACGCATCGCTGCCTGTGTGAACACACCTTGCGGGGCCTCCGGAGTCGGTCTGCTGTCGGTGTCCTCGGAGCTGTGCGACAGGCTCGGAGCCTGTCACATCATCATGTGCAGCAGTGGTGTGCACAGGTGTGTGACGTCTTTGCCCAGTTGACATGGTTCTTGTCCTATAGTTAATGTGACTGGACTAAAACTAGAAATGTTCAAGGACTCAGGTGTGTTTGGGGTACTATTGAGATTTTTCTGGGTTGGATTCTTGCGGTTTTAGTAACTGTAGATAAACCAATGATGTAATCCCCTATTTGTACCAGGATAGCTCAGATTTGTATTCCTCTCATGTTTATATTACCATACTAGTATTTTAGGTACAAAATGTGTGTCTTTCTTATTCACTGTAGGAATTCCCTTAGTTGGAGTTAAACTCAAATAACTCAACACCACTTTTCTCAGTTCCTCAGTTCCTCACATCCCTAGAGCCAAAGTGTCCTGAGACTGATGTTCCTTGGGCTAGACACTGCCTCCTTCCAATGGTCAGCCAAGTGATGGCCCAGTACCTCACATGATACAGTCAATGCGTCATGATGATTCCTGCCAACTGTGCTGTTTGGAGCAGCCAAGGCGGGTGCATCAGACTCACCCTCCTATGGGAGTGAGCATCCCCGCTCAAGTCCCACTTCATCATTGCCCGGGCCTCACTTTTATTGTGGAAGTGAAGCCTTACAGATGCTAATGATAAGGTAGAATTGTAGTCTTCCCTTTAATCTGAACAGGGAGCTTGACTGAGCACAGGATGTACTTTCTTAGTACTAGGTCTTTAGACTTTGAAGGTCATGGTCACTTACTTATTCACATTTATTTGATCCTTACTCCATGCAAAGTGCTGTAATTGGTGCTCTGTAACATCATACAGGGAGGATGTTTATTTTAGAGACAAGCATGAATAGCAAATGGCACAATATAACAGTGATTAAAATTAGTAATACTAACAAGGATGAAAACACAACAAAACTACCATACAAGAAAGGTATTATTTAGGAAATCCAAAACTAATGAGTAGGATTCGGAGGGGAATTGATCTTTCAGAGCGTCAGGTCTGGAGCATTCCATGGAGCTGATGTTGAACTGGGATTAGAGCACAGAAAAGGGAGAAAGGCCATTCAAGGCAGCAGCCTCTGCAGTCTGTGTCATTTCATCTTGATGGGATATGACCAGGGTCTAGCTTTGAAGTTCAGTATAGCATGATCTTGAGTTTGAAATATGAGTCAGTTTCTCAAGGCATATTCTATAATCTTTTTACTACCAGAGAAATAATTTTTTGGTAACTTCCTGTCAATTCAGGCTATATAGCCATTCATTCACTCATGATTTGACCTATGTGTGTTCACTGAGCACTGGTTGGGTGTCTACACTGCTGGGTTTACTGTATTAAAGAAACATATGGATTTGCATATAGTGTACATTGCATTGTGGGAAATGAATGATGAAGAAAACAAACAAGTACGCTGTGCTACAGGTGGAGTAACACCAAAGAATGGAAGCCAGAGTCAGCATAAGAGAAAGGTGTGCTTTCTGAGTCAGCATAAGAGAAGGGTGTGCTTTCTGAGTCAGCATAAGAGAAGGGTGTGCTTTCTGAGTGCTAGGCAGGTCTTCCACGACACAGGAAAGGAAGATCAATTTGGTGATTTGCTTGTCTCAAAGACAGAGCCTCCCAGGCACCAGGAGAGGCAGAACAAGAATCTTTTGGTGGAATATGCCTGCTAGGTTCAAGGAATGGCAAAGAAAAGAAAGAAAGAAAGAAAGAAAGAAAGAAGAGAAGGAGGAGGAGAGAAGAAGAGGAGGAGGAGGAGGAGGAGGAAGAAGAAGAAGAAGAAGAAGAAGAAGAAGAAGAAGAAGAAGAAGAAGAAGAAGTTGCTTTTCATGGTTGACCCAACAAGATGGTATCACCTTGACTTTCTGTGTTTTGCCTTCCCTAGTTCATGCTCACAGTTAGCAAAGCACTAGAACAAGCGGTCAGACACTGGTAACTTTGTATCTAGAAATGTGTACCCTTAGCCTCTGTGTGCAGTTACTGCCAGCAAGCATGAGCAAATGTCCAAATTGCTTTCACAGACATTCCATACTTAGAGTATGATGGGTGTTGTATGAGGCCAAGGCCAACATTACACAGCTATTTCACAATTTCAATCTTCATTGATTCTTGTGTTAGAATCATAAGTAGCATTGAAATATTTGTAAAGTATGATTTTCTCCATTTTTACAATTAAAGATCAGTAATGGTTTGGATAATTTACTTCAGAAGATACTAAACTTTTGTCAGGTGCTGCATTTAAATGAAAATTGTGTTTTATTTTTATATTATTCAGAATAACAAGGGACTTTCATATAAATTTTACTTTTTTTCTGTGAAGGACTCACTTAGATTTTTTTCCCCCCAGGAAGATAAAATATGTGCCAATTTACATTGGCATTCAAATTTCCACAGAAGGCTGTTCCTAAAATAATCCTTTAGTAATTCTAATTCAGGAGGCTAGAGAGGAAGCCAAGCAGATCCACATCTGCAGGAAACATTAAACAAGGAAGTCTGCAGTCAGGTTCCTACCGAGAGGACAAATTTAGTGTTAAGCAAATATACAAGATACTTTTAACATTTGTTTTTAAAATACAAGTGAGAAATGGTCCAACTATATAGTAGCCACTTGAATTGCTTTACTGCATTTTTGTTTATTGGGTAAAGGAGGTGTCTAAATATTATTAGGAGTAGGAATGTAGGTCTTAGAAGGAGATGCATTAGCATAGCATCTACATGTTTAATAATGCATATGCACGATTAGGAGAAAGGAATTTAGATAAATTATAAAAACCCCATAGCACTTAGCCTAGCTTTGTGTTTATTGAAATTTTCCCAGGGTACCAGTTCATATCCCTTGACGCTCAGCTCTTCTTCTCACCGATTCGTAGCTTTCCATTGCCATTGAAGGGACCAGGGTGGGCTATTTTTAAGGTGAGGGCTTGCCTTTTAAAAAGTATAAATATAATTATAGGTGATTTAGTAATGGACATTTTTCATGCCCACCTCTTCCATGTTGAATCTTCTCCTGATTTCTATCAAGTTCTACACATTTGCACATTGCACTGTTAGTGCATAAACTGTCTTAATAAGAGTTGGTTGTGTCCCATGAAGAGTGGGTGAGTTCGCTGGAATGGGTTGTTACGGTTAGTCTGACCGCTTTGGTTCTCTGGATTTTTGCCCGTCTATCTTCAGTAGGAGATCATGCAGCCAAAAGGCATGAACCAGATGGAGGCTCCTCAGCCTTGGACTTCGTCTTCTGTCTCAGTTTTAAGAACTAAATTTATTTTCAATTACCCTATCTCATATATTCAGTATAAGAGGCATATTTTTCTATCATCTGTCTTATGTACCATTTAATGTTGCAACTCCTGAGTCTCCCATCACTTATTAATTTCTTATTTAATTATTACAATCTCTCTTTCTGCCATTGCACATAACACTGGCACAGAGGCATCCTTGTACATGTTGCTGTCTCTTTAGTTAAAATAGAAACATCCTTTAGTTAAAATTACTATGTTAAAAAATTTAAAGCTTTTTGGTTAATGCATTATAGTTCACTCCCCAGAAAGAATTATCCTCGAGAGAACACAAGTAGCATGGCTTATCTTGCCTTTCCTTAACCTTGTCCGGGAAAGGCAATGGAATTCATCTGCATGCTGTTCTTAGTAGAGATGCAATCACGTATCTGGAGTGCTCTAATTTATACTTCTTTGCTAACACGTTAAAGGATTTGCTGTGTTATGAATTTCCTTTCCTACAGAGACATGTGTTACTTTTACTGTGCAGTTACCTGCCTCATAGATGAAGTTATTTTTGTTTTCCAAATGGAACCTTTTAATGGCATTGAATCAGCTCTGTGGCTTTTCGAGTTGTGTTTTGTATCTATGCCAGTTATTTGTTGCAGGCAATCAAAGAGCTTGCCACTGCAACTGAGATCTAAATGTTCCTTTTATTTCTTACAGCAGCATCCTTCCATTTAGTGTGGTTGGTTAATTTGTTTGGGCTCGTTATTCCCACCCCTGCTTGACAGCCTCCATTTCTCCTTTAACAAATACAAATCAGTACCTTGCAAGTGTTACAAAGCTCTCAATATGTCTCTTACTGAGTCTACAAAGATCCTTTTCTCTTCGACTTCATTAGTATCTGGGAACCCATGAGTAGAAAGCTTCCTGAAAGAGCCCGAGATAAATGTTTACAAATTTTCTAGCAAAGGCAAAGATTCTGAGATCATAGTGTGCCTCTTTAGGGACTTGTCTTTATTCTCAACTTGATCTGATTTTTAGTGGTGATTGATCCATGCTATCAGTCTTGGTGTGGTTACGCCAGCAAATGGTAAGTAACTTCAGTACACGGCTGAGGACTTGACTAGCCTGGACTGTGTCTGATCAAATTCTGTGAAAAGGACCAACCTTTGTTCTCATGATTTCGGGTGAGATTGAATTTCTTTAAGAATCAGGCCCTCCGTTTTTAGCTAACATCCCTGGCCTTTCCTCAGTGGAAATCGGCAGCTAAGCTGCATCATGATCCTCCTCGTGAAGAACTGCCCACGAGTGTGAGAAGAACACAGTGCATGCCAGGGCCAGCGGCTTGCCGTTGTTAAAACACAATACTGATGAACTTCGATTTGCATACACAATCAGCATCTGATTTTTATTAGTGATAGAATGTGTGCTCGAGGATACACACACACACACACACACACACACACAGATTTAGGAATCAAGCTTAAAAGGATCCATTTTCAAAATGTATTTATTAATAGCTTGTTAGGAAGTTGAGAAGCATTTTCCTAGTTAACAGTCCAAGAGCTGCTTGGAGTCCCAAGGTCATCCCCTACCCTATACCCACCAACCAAAGCCCATTTATGTAATCACAGTATAGGACCCAAAGTACTTATTACAGCATTTGTTAAGAAAATAAAAAATCCAGAAGGTGAAATACAAAAACAACGCCAAAGAAACCAGTATTAGCAATGCCTCCAGCAGAATAGTTTTCATTTCAAACAGAGATAAACACTATGGTGATAAACAGTCACAAAAGCCCTCACCAGGGAACGCCA